ACGATGTCTCCATGCCAAGCCATGTGCCCCAGTGCCTGGTAGTGGAACCCACCAGCTTCCCCTCGCCTTCAGACAACTCATACCTCTACTCGTTTCCGCAGACGGGAGAACTGCCACTCAACACCTACATGACTCACCATATATGTATTTGACAACTGCCTCCTATGAATTCTCAGTTTTTGCCTATCATTAAATTTCTTCTGGTATAGCTTCCTGTGCCTTGGTCTCCTACAGTGCCCCCGGAGTGTCCAAAATCCCATTTTAATGTATCTCCGATTCCAGGATATGCTGGGAAGTATGCACGAGTTGAGGGGCTTTCTGATCATTTTTTGTTTCTTTTTTTAAAAAACTAAGATAGAAAAGACAACGAGCAGTCTAAGCAGACGGTGGCATGAGCTGAGTTATCCACCTTCTTTGGATCTCCAGCCACCCCCACCGACTCTAATGTGAAGGGATTACAGCAGAGCATTTCAAAAGCCCTTTCTCACTTTCTGAAACGAATGTTCTCTTTAGCCTTCTGTTTGCTTTTTCATTTGTTCATGGAACAAATACTGCTGAGATGGAGTGTTGCCCAAGCAGCAGTCACGGGCCACTAAGACTTCGTTCTATCCCCAGGGGGCTCAGAGTCTGGAGTGAGAGAAGACAACAACAGCCCATTAGGAAAAGGTGTATTCCACGGAGCAGAATACTATGATAGCCTAGGAAAGGAGCTAGATCTCCCTACACCCGCTCTGCCATCTCACCAATAGAGATTCCATTATCCCAGCTGCTCGGGCACAAGCCATTGGCTTCATTCCAGACCTCTCCCTCTCTTACTCTCTTGTTTCCCACATTCACCCAGCAGTAAGTGATGCTGGTACGTCTTTGAAAAATCTTAGAATCTGACTACACGCCATCGCCTCCATTGCCGCTGTACTGATCTCAGCCTGGGCTGTTGTAATACTCTCTCTGACTCTTTCCTGCCTTCTATCTAATGTCCCTCAATCCCTAGAGTGTTCCTTCTAAAATATAAAATGAACCCCATCACTCCTTTGTCCAGAAGCATTTGCATCTTAGTCACAGAGAACCTGAAGTCTTGTCCTGACTTGCAAAGATCTCCGATCCCACCTCTTACTACTCTGGCCCTTGCTGGCGACTCTTGGCCTATGCTGAGCATCCTTGAACTTACCTTCTGCCTGGAACATCATTCCCTCTTCCTGCAGATACCTGTGTACAAGTTACATACTGCTGTGTAATTAATTACTGCAAATCTTTGCTGCTGAAAACAACAATAAACAGTCATGTCTCCTAGTTTCTGAGGGCCCACAATTTTGCTTAGTGGTTCCGAGTCACCATCTTTCATGAGGTTGAGGTCAGATGGGGCTACAGTCTCATCAGAAAGCTCGGCTGGAGCTGGAGGATCCACTTCCAAGGTGGTTTGCTACCACGGCTGGCTGTTAGTAGGAGGCCTCATTTTTTTTTTTTTTAAACATGGTGCTGCTTGAATGTCCCTACAACATGACAACTAGCTTCCCGCTAGAATGATGAATCCAAGAGAGCAAGGCAAAAGCCGCTTCAGGTGACCTGGACTGAAAGCCACACGTCATCCTTTCTACCACATCCTGTCCATTAAACATGAGTCACTAAGCCCGTACAATATTTGAGGGGAGAGAAATTAATTTCCATCTTTTGATGGCAGGAATATAAAAGGATCTGTGAACACATTCTAAACCACCCAAGCTTCAAGGTTAGTCCCTAATCTTTCAAGTCTCTATTCCCTTGTACCTTAACAAGGTCTGCTCTGATTACTATAAACAGAACAGCAGCCCCTCCTCCCGTTTCCCAGCTCTGATGCTGCTATATTCGTGCCATCATTGATTACCATTCAGTAAGCCGTATTTTTATTTACCGATGTGTTACCTGCTTTTCCATCCAAGATGTAAGCTCCAGGATCAAAGGAGGCATCTCTATCTTTTTCACCATTCTTTGGAGACAGATCTTGCTAAGTTTCCCAGTCAGGACCCCACCTCCTGATCCTCCTGCCTCAGCTTCCTCAGTAGCTGGGAGGCGTGCACCACCACCCATGGCTACTGTCACCTTATGTCTTATTCACCGCCCCCCCACACGGAGAACTGTCCCACACACAGCATGAGCTTTCAGGGAACTAGGGGAAATGCGTGCAAAGTAGCTTGAGCCACCGCAAGTGCAGGAAAGGGCCAGCCTTCTTGTGTAATAGCCAGAATTTACAAGCTTTGAACGGTTGGGGAAGAGCTAAGATAACATAACACGTGGATAGATGGGCAGGAACAAAGGCTCTGAGGTGGAACCCTTGTAGTAGGGGAGATGGGGCATGCCCAGGGTTCAGGAAAACCATTCCTGAGCAGGACAGAAGGGATTTCTGAGTTTGGAGTTGACAGGGAGGAAGTCTTGGCAGCCCTAATTAGAATCTCTGCCCTCCTGGGCTTGTAATGTCTCCCTGGCTCTGCTTCTAAAGATGGATGATAAGCGGCTGGCAGAGATGGATGTGTTTTTCTGTCCTTCCTTGAATATTGACTGGGCTTGGCTCTGTCCTCTGGAAATCCTAAAGAGCAGGGGGCTTATCAGATGCATTTGTTCTGAGTCATAAAACCAATCTTGATGTACTGGTTGTAGGAGATTGTTCATGCCTTTGATCAGTGCCTGTTCCAAGGTTCTGAAAACAGGTGAACAAGAAGGAAGCGCTTGGATTGTGCCAAATACACCTATGACCTCAAACTCCTGAGTCTTCCTTGTGAGAAGCCAGGGACTTGAGTGGCAGGTTTTCAGAGGCAACATCCTCCTCTCCCTTTCTAAGACTCAAATAAAGAGGTGGGGCTCCTAGGTGACACCCAAATATTATTTGAAACTTAGGTCAGTGGCAGCAGAGGGAAATTCCAGCCTTCATGGGAATTGTTGTCTTAAACAGGTGGTCTCACACCTCTTATGTTTCAGGATTATTTGCTTATGAGAAGAAAGTAAAGGGGAAAAAAATAAAAATCAAATTTAAATTTAAAAATACACAGTGGGAAAAGCCACTTTCTAGATCTTTTTATTCCCATAAATTATCTTACTTTGTCTTCACAACAACTCAACAATACATGGGCTGATATCACTCCCTGTTTTATAATTGAGGAAATCATACCTCAGAGGTTGTAAGGGAATAGCCCCAAGTCCTGCATGTGCTGAGTGGAGAAGGCAGTGTCTGAATGCGCGTATACAGGTGTATCCTGAAAGGGGGTCCGCGTGCCCTTTCGAGTGCCCAGTTTTGGGGTGGGCTATTGCTTATTTATGAGGAGTGAGCTACTTTTAACCTATCACAGGCCAGATTGCTTTTATGGACCCAGTCCTACAGGCACAGGTTTCAACTTTCCTGGACCACTGTGGCCTTGTAGGGGAGGGAAACCAGAGATAAGGGCATGAGGTCATTTTAGGAGCCAAGATGTACCAGGAGAATGCAGCCTTTGAGGCGGCGTCACAACATACTTTAACATGATCAATTCCCTAACATATCCCCCTGCCTGATCCACTGGGAATTATTTCAGCACTCCAGTGGATGCCTGAAACCAAGGCTAATAAAGCATGGCATGGATTAACAATCACAACTAATAATACAGTGATAATATACTATGATAAAAGCTTTGTAAACCTGATTTCTCTCAAAATATCATATTGTTCTTTAACTTTCTCAATTAAAAGGAGCACTGTTCAGCTTTTCTTTGGCATATCCAAATTCTCACATAATTATCTTGCACTTTGGGGCCATTGTTAAGTAAAATGTGTGTTAGCTGAACACAAGTAATGCAATGCAGTGTGACTGCCAATCAGATGGTCAGATGACTTCGAAGGGACTAACAGGTGCATAGTGTGTACAGTGTGGATATACTGGATAAGAGGATAATTTCCATCATGGGAGTGACAGAGGGGGATAGTGTTAGATTTCATCAAAATACCCAGACCAGTGAACATTTAAAACCTACCATTTGCTTGTGGTTGGAATTTCCACTTGATATATTTTGATTTTTAATTTTTTACTTAATACAAGTACATATTAATAAAAATATGAAAACATTCTTTTATTAAAAAGAAAAGTTCATAACAAAATAATAGGAGAATAACAATGTTTAGTATACCATGTGTCATGATCTTAGAAGAATGGTCAAAATGTTACTCAGGGTGCAAAACCTAGGTGAAAACAGATTCTTACAAGGAAGAAACAAGCACATAAAAGAACAAAACTTTATTTTCAATGAACAAAAGAAACTAGTATAAAATGAAACAAATAACCATTTTTCTTAAAATAGTTTTGAAACAATAGATAATACAAGGAGTTATTTGAACTCTTTATTTCCTGTTTATCTTCTATCTCTCTCTCTTTTCAGTTGATGACGGGCGGGGGGAGATACTGATTCTCAGTTTTTCCGTTGACTGCAAGCTCAAAAACTCAAAAAGCAAAACTAGGGATAAAAAGGGACAGATAAGGCAGAGAAATGCAACAGACATGACAAAGCATAGTTTGAGCGAATGGTATCATGCTTCGGCCTTTGTATTTTGAGAAAGAAAATGAAACCCTAGTTTCCAGCATTTCTAGGTGGTTTAATCAGTCAGGAAAGGATGGGGATCTAACAAAGTGCAGCAAAGGATGCTATACTAACAAATAAACCCTGATATCCAAACAGCTTAATCTAATGAGGGTTTATTTCTCTCTTGCAAGATCTGAGGTGGCACAGGTATCTCAGCTTCATCAAGTAGCCTCACCTTTCTGAATATAAAACATCCAAGGTCACTGTGACAGAGGAAGAGATAGCTAGGGAGGGCACATAGATCTTGGTTGCCTTGAGCTGCAAATGATATGTCACTCTGCTCAGTGATAATTAGCCAAGCATAATCAAAAGGCCTGAATGTAACTGTAAAGGAAACTGGGAAATAATAGAAAGAGTGAATATTTAATGAACAGTGTCTCCATATACCCTAAGACTTTGCCTCCTTATTTTTTTCACTTATAGGACAGAGCCCCAGAGCAGCCCCAAGGTCACAGCCCAGGATGGGTCTTCTGAAAAGCTGGGCCCACGTCTGGCCACTGAGGCCTTGGACATGACTAGCTGGGAGAGAGACAAGGCCTTTCGGGAGCTGGGTCCTGCCAGAGCACGCAGGTGAGATGCTGTTTCCTTACTCTCTCCAGTCCAGTGGAAGAGTTGAAGTTGAAGACACAGCAGTGAAGTTTGCCTCTCTGACCACTTCCCTCCTCTCTCTTTTACAAGTTCTTCTTTCGTATCCTTAAATCTGAGATGAATACATTTTTTTCTATAGTGGGCCAAATAGGAAATATTTTAGATCTATGACCTCTATCACAATTCCTCAACTCTGCCTTTGTGGCACAAAACCTACTGTAGACATTACATGAACAAATAGGAATACAGAGTTCCAATAAAACTTTATTTATAAAAATAGGAAGCAGGGTATATTTGGCCCATTGGTTAGAGCTTGTCAACCACTGCTTTAAATGAACGAAGTCCTCTCCGTTTTAAAGATTCTATTAGCCCTTGCCTCCTAAATCAGGCTTCAGCACAGATTTGCCTCCTGGGTTCAGATCTTCGTATCCATTCCAATTCAGTTATTCAACCAATACTTTTTGAACACCTGTTATTTAATAGGTACTGTGATGACAGAGAGTCTTACTGATGCTCAGGAAGATGAGAACCGACTTGCCCAGTATATGGCGGTCTCTAAATAGCAAAGTGCAGTGTTGAACTCCAGCATCTTTGATCTTAAATCCTAGACTAACACCCACCATATTATCTTATATCCGCAAATGAAAAACCAGCCTCCCTGCTTCCTCCTATTTTTCAATTTTGTTGCTTATACATATGAAGGTCCGGTCTGTGGAAAATCTGAATATATTTGCAGCACTATCTTTATCATGCAGCTTCACAGGCTGGATTAAAGATTGATTTCTACTTCCCTATGAATCTGCCCCGCTCATGTGCTCCAAGATTCTACCTAACCCCAGTAACAGGTGGAAAACGAATCTGGAGTCTTGCTTCCTGATGTGAAATCAGAGGGTGTCAAAGCCATTTTTTAAGGCCTCCCATAGGCATTTAATAAGTAAAGTAAATACTGAATACTTTAACATGACCGCTAATACATTCATAATTGCAATAATCCATAAACTAGGCAGACTAAGCATAGATTCTAGAAGGCACAGACAAAGCTGGAAATTGTGAAATTGCAGTAGATGAGGACACTGAGGCTAGTCAGTTGCAGGACTGAGATAAGCCTGAGGACCTTGACCATGGCTTAAATTCTCTCCTTCCATTCTGGAGTTCTTGGTTTCCTAAGGGAGAGGTTTAAAGCCATACCGGATGTCCATCTGAGAATTAGATGAAAGCTATCAGTACTGTCTCCAGGAAAAATGTCTGTGCTCCAGGAACAACCTAAAAGTTCTCTGTATCATTTTAGAAGGTTCACAGACCCCAGAGGCTGATGAACAGGACCCCTTGCTAAAGAGCCCTTGCTAAAGAGTTAATGAATTTTGAAGTCAGTGTAGCTGTTACTGATGAAACACTATCTTATCCCAAACACAGGCTTTGGTTGGGCTATGATTTCAGTGAGGGAGAAACAGTTAAATTGGACCAGCTCTTCAGAAGTGAAGGGAGTGAAGTTCAGTATCTGATCTGGATAGTATTCTCCAGGAAACGCGAAGAAAGCTGTTTCTTTTTCTTTTTTTTTTTAATTAAATTTATTGGTACTTTTTAGATAATACATTATAGTTACATTCATGATTGGGATCTTGTACCTTTACATGACAGATCTTGGTTCTCATTTTCCTCCATACCCCTGCCCTCCCTTCAACCCCTCCAACCTTTGCGATTTACAAAGACTTTGTTTCCCTTTTTTCCATTTCTCATATTTTTTCTTTTCCCTTATTTCCTTTCCTCTACCCTTCCCACTTCCCCTACACCATTAGCCCTTTTCTTCTTATTCCACATTGTCAGTTGTACACACCAGAGAACTTTATGGCTGAGTAGTACTCCATTTTATAGAAAAACCCTATCTTCTTTATCTAGTCTCCAATTGATGGGCAATTGGGCTGTTTCCAAGTTATAGCTATTATAAACTGTGCTGCTATAAACATGTGTGCATATGTCACTGTGGTATGATTCCTTTAATTCTTTTGGAAAGATACCCAGCAGGATAGCTGGGCCATATGTAACCGCTAATTCTAGTTGTTTAAGGTATCTCCTTATTGATTTCCACAGTGGTTGCACCAGTCTGCACTCCCACCAACAATGGAGAAGGGTTCCTTTCTCCCCACAACCCTGCCAACATTTGTTATTGGTTGATTTCTCAATAGCAGCCATTCTTTCTGGGGTGAGGTGGAATCTCAGTGTTGTTTTCATCGCCATCTCTGGAATGCCCAGCAATGTTGAACATTGTTTCATATATTTATTTGCAGCTTTTACTTCTTTGTCTGAGAAATGTCTGTTCATTTCAGATGCCTATTTTTGAACCATCCTTGCATCCCTGGAATAAATTTGACTTGGTCAGGCTGTATGATCTTCTTGATGACCCTCTGTATTCTGTTTGCCAGTATCGTATTGAGGATTTTTGCATCCATGTTCATTAGGGAGATTAGTCTGTAGTTCTCTTTTTTTTGGTTGGGTCTTTCCCTAGTTTTGGAATCAAAGTAACACTTGCTTCCAGGAATGAATTTGGAAGTATTGCTCCCTTTCACTTTTGTTGAAAAGTTTAAAGAGTAGTGGCAGTAGTTCTTCTCTAAATGTCTTGCAGAATTCAGCAGGCCCTGTGCTTTTCTTACTTGGTAAATTTTTAATTACATTTTCAATTTTGCTGATTATAATTCAGATATTTATAATTTTTTTATCTTCTTCCTTTAACTTTGGTAATTCATAAGTATCTAGAAATCTGTCCATTTCTTCTGTTTTCCATTTTTTTAGAGTACAGATTCTTGAAGTAGGTATTGATGATCCTCTCGATTTTTTATGATCTTCTGGATTTCTTTTGGATCTGTTGTGACTTCCCCTTTTTCATTCCTGATTGCATGGATCTGAGCCTTTTCTTTCCTTTTTTTTTTTTTTTGATAAGGTTGGCCAAGGGTTTATCAATTTTATTTATCCTTTTGAAAAACCAACTCTTTGATTTGTTGATTTTTTAAATCATTTTCTTAGTCTTCATTGCATTGATTCCTGCTCTGATCTTTATAATTTCCTCCCTTGTGTGAGCTTTTGAGTTTCTCTTGCTGTTCTTTTTCTAGGAGATTAAGATTCACCATTAGTTGTTTATTTGAACTCGCTCTGTTTTCCTAGTGTGGGCATTCACTGCTGTGAATATCACACATAAACCTGCTTTCATTGTATCCCATAGATTCCTGTATGTTGTACTGGCATTATCATTAAATTGTAAAAACGGTCTAATTTCTTCTTTAATTTCTGGTGTGACCCATTGGTTGTTCAGGAGTGTGTTACTCAATTTCCATGTGTTTGTGATGTTCTTGAAGTTTATTATGCTATTGATCTCTAGCTTAATTGCACTATGATCTGATAATATACATGGGATAACTTCATTTCCTTTTTATTTATTTAAACATGTTCTATGAGCTAGTATGTGGTCTATTTTGGAGAATGACCCATGTGCTGGTGAAAAGAATGTTTATTCTGATTTTGTGGGGTGGAACACTCTATAAACATCTGTTAAGTCCATTTTTTCAAAAGCTTGGTTTAGTCCTAGTATTTCATTGTTGATTTTTTTGTCTAGGTGATCTATCTATTTGTGAGAGTGGGGTATTTAGGTCCCCTACTACAACTGTGTTAGTGTTTATTTGGTTTTTCATGTCCCTTAATATTTGTTTGTATAGTTGGGGGACTAGTATTTGGTACATATATATTTATGGTTGTCATCTCTTCCTCTTGGATTGTTCCCTTTACAAGGATGTAGTGGCCTTCTTTGTCTTTCTTAAGTAGTTTTGGTTTGAAATTTACTTTGTCTACAAATAAAGATAGCTACCCCTGCTTTTTTCTGGGCTCCCGTTGCATGGAGAACTGTTTTTCCATCATTTTACTTTCGGTCTATGAGCTTCTTTTTGAACTAGGTACATTTCTTATATACAACATATTGTTGGATTTTGCTTCTTAATCCATTCTGCCAGTCTATTTCTTTTGATTGGTGAATTGAGGCCATTAACGTGGTTATAACCGATAAGTATTGACTTATCTTTGTCACGTTATTGTCATGTTGTTGACTCTTTTTAATTTTTCCACCTCTCCCTTTAGTTTCTTGCCTTGCCTAATTGATTTACTCTGTTGGGCCTCATGGCATTGTCCCCTTCATTGTCTTTTTCTGGGATATTGTTTAGAATTGTTTGGAGTGCTGGTTTGGTAGTCATGAAGTTTCTCAGGTGTTCTTTGTCATGGAAGTATCTTATTTCCCCATCCATTATAAAAGAGAATTTTGCAGGGTACATCAGTCTAGGTTGGAGGTTGTTTTCTTTCAGGGCTTGAAATACCCCACTCCAGGCTTTCCTTGACCTGAGGGTTTGTGTTGAATAGTCTGCTGTGATTCTGATCGGCCTTCCTTTGCATGTGATTTGTTCTTTTTGGTTTTTTTGTTTTGCTTTGTTTTTTCTCTAACTGCTTGCAGTATTTTGTTCTTCTGTTGGGTTTCTGGGATCTTAACCTTTATATGTCAGTATATATATTGATCATGGCTAGTTGGAGTCCTATATGCCTCACTTATCTGTATGTCAAATTCTTCCCCTGTGCTTGTGAAGTTTTCTGTCATTAATTCTGTGAACAGTTTTTTTTTTTAAGACATTTGTACTTTCTCCTGCTACTTCATGGATTCCAATCAGTCTTATATTATTCTTACATCATCTAGGAGTTGTTGGATCGATTTCCATAATCCCTTACTGTTTTTACGAGATGTCTCTTTTCATGGTCATTGACTGTAATCCTATCTTCTATACCTGAAATTCTATCTTCACATTCATTCATTCTGCTGTAAATGCTTTCTATAGAGTTTTTAATCTAAATATCTGTTTGAATCTGTTTCATGGATTCCATTTCTTTGCTATATTGGGCATTCATGGTTTCTATTTCTTTCCTATGCTGGGCATTCACTGCTTCTATCATGGTCC